AAACACCGGCAAAAAAATTCAACTCTCACAGTGTCCCCAGTAGTCTGGAAGAAAAATATGAAGATAATTTTCGCCTCCAGAGAAGGATACCTTTGTTGGTGGTCAAAAAACCCTTCAATCAGCGCACTGAGAGATTTTCGCGGTGTATAAAATATTTATTTCTGATTTCGCGGAAGTTTGCACTTGACGATCTTAATATTTTTTTTTATTTTTTCAGCTAATTTTGAACCGTTCTTTCCAGGTTTGTTTGCTTTCGTTTTATGTTGATTAGAATACTCCATCTTAAAGTTGTAAGCGTTTTGTCATCACTGAACGCTTTGTGTAATGTTAGGAATATGTGAACAAGGAAATGCAGTCAACAGAATTATAATTTATGGCCGAACAAATCTCAGTCTTCTGAGGCTTTGCAAAACGTCTCATAAGCTCGGTGTAAACTTGGGGAACAGTGCTTAATAAATCATTGCATTTTACAGATTGCTGACTAATGAGAAAGAAAATAAGCCGAAGTTGAATCACAAATATTAACTTGGTTTTTCACCGTTATTTCAATGTTTGCTTTATTCGTTTTAACTCATCTTTTGTTAACCTTAACTTAAACAAAATTAAATATTATCGCGCACAAACGTTCGATACATTATTTGTCTCCCTCTGTCTCTCCAATGATAGCGAAAAGATTTATAAATATCGTCTGTCTCACCCCATTCCGTCAGGAATCAAATAACCTGTACCAATTTTATTATTGGTACCAAACTGAGCAAGATTCTACTGCAATGAGGGAACGAGGTCATCTAGTCTCAATTTTCCACTCGAAATTTCCTGTTTATTATTATTATCGTTTTCAGTTGGAAGAACTTGTCTTCGCTGCATGCGAGTCAAATTAAATTTACTATTTTTTTTGTTTTGATAGTCAGTTTTAATTACTTAGAGGGAGCTCTCCGGCAATAAAGGGTCGATAGTTTGTTCTAGAACGTCGTGATGTTTGCTTTTATAATAATGGGGTAAAAGAGCTCTGTTGTCGCCAATAATAACTAAAAAATTAACCAATCTTGATCGAGTTTTGATGTAGGAGTGACAAATAAGTAAGGTTACCGCAAGCTGAAATATACCAGAATGGAACCCTCTGCCTCTCTCGTGAAAAAAGTAGGAAAAAGAGTTAAAACGATCAGCCTCCCGCAGGTAATAAATTGGTGTTTGATTTGCTTCGATCAAACAAGGATAAGCTAAGGTCCTGTTCACACTACGCGGGAGGAATTTGAAAACGCAGCTTTACTTCTACGGTTAGGTCTACCGGTTAGGTCTACCGTCCACACTAATCCTACACGAAAACGGAGCTTTTCGAAAACTCTCTTCAAAGCGGAGGAATTTGAATAGGCCGGCTTTGCGTTGTATGTATGTATGATATTCCCTAGCCAGAGGTTTACTCAAACACAAATAACCGGCGGTGATTGTTGTGTTTTCAAATTTCTGCGGCGTAGTGCGGACGGAAAACATCTGATGCGTCTTCAGAGTGAAACCTCTGTTTTCAAATTCCTCTAGCGTAGTGTGGACGGAGCCTAAAGTTGCCAATAATACCTTTTAAGGCCTTATCCGCGTACGCTTTTTCACTTTCGTACAACCTTTTTCGAAACAGCTGTACGTAAGTAAGTAAGTAATGAAGTTCAGCAGGTAGGGAGGTGGGAAGGCAGATAGATAGGAAGGCATACACCTAGGTAGCAAGTTTACACACGTTTATGCAATGTTAGCTTGTAATCTCTAGGAAGAGTGAATTATCCAACTTAACAAGACCTTCGAATTTATCTCGGAGTTTCTCCTAGTCTCCCACAACACAGGGCCTGCAATTTCCCACGTTCGAGTGACGGTAACATTTGAGTGAATAATTTATTAGGTACATCTCATGCGAAGGAAACACCACAATCAGGAAAGTTATTTTAGCAAACTCTTTTAATTAAGTTTACCGGTACACACCCTTCGCTATGAAACCACACTTTTTTTCAATACAAGTAGTTTTTATGTCAGAGTTGAAAAAGTTAAGTACCAAATATTTGAGTATGAAAGAACTTTAAATGAAATAGGCTGGGTCAGCTATTGAGTCACATTCAAAGTAGTCTCAGAATCAAGGGAAACCTTCATGTATTTGACACAACAGAGGAGAAGCATCTATGTAGATGTTTAAGGGGAATACGGATGTTGAAAATGGGCAAGATTGTGATGCCAAGAGGTGGTAACTTGATTCTTATAAACGACCTGACTGAGAACATGTCACATAAGCGACACACCCCTTTAGTTAAATTAACCAAAGTGATTAAAACTCAGTTACAAACAAAGACATTGTTAACTAAAACAAAACAACATTGTTAACCGGCAGCAAGAAACCAAACAACCACAAAATCAAGAGGAGAACGGACTGGGACCAATCTTCATCTTTTTATAGCATTTGATTGGCTGAGGCACGCCACGCTGATTGGCTCATCTGCTCGGGCTTGAAAAACTAGAATTAAATACTGACCACCGCAAATGATTGTGTTACTCCTTTAGTTTTGCATTTATCTGCAAGTGTTCGATTATTCAAAACTTAAGACCTTAACTTGTGCTAGTCATAACCAAACCAATGTATTTGTGTAAAAACGATAACAAGGGCTTTGAAGTTACCCGACCACTATATTAACTAACTACCCATAATATAAATTATCAATTTCAATTCAAAAATCCTCTTTTCTAAAAAGGTACGAGCCGTTTGACTTTTCCAGTGAGGTATAAATAATTCTGTCTTCAATTTTAAAAATGATCTTTAACATGATTCGAAAGGTTTTTATATATTACGAGTAAAACACCAGCAATGTCCCAAATTGAAATTCATTTTTTTTTGCTATAGATGTTCAATTGGTACTTCGCCTTTGAGGCGTATGTCTAGGTCCACGTGTTCATAGGCCGCAATCGCGCGATTGCTCTTTGCTCTTTGCCCTTTGCACTCATCACATTCACAACACACTCTGATCACGTGAACCGGAACTGCAGTAGATGTCTGGAGAGGTGTTAACTGCAGTGTTATACTTCTGTCGATTTCAGATAAGGCAGTACTTTAAAGTCGATATCGTCAATGTACACTTCCTCTTTACCTGAAACTAGAAAGTATTTTGCGGTTTGAGACTATGACACTACAGTGGAACTTCGATTTCTAACGAGACGATATTCTTCGCCCCAGTAATAGTAAAATATAAGGAAAAGAACCCCGATATAACAAAACATCGTTATAGCGAACATATTTTGCCAGTCCCTTGGCCCTTCGTTATATCGAGGTTTCACTGTATTAGCAGTCGCCCCCTCGTTTTCTACCCTGGCTGATTTAAAAAAAAAAAACCTAGTGCACGAAAGGGTTAAAAAATCATGCCTACGCCGAATCACCCATCTCCCCTCAAAAGTCAAATGCCACCCCCCCTCTCTAAGCGGGCACCCTCCCACACTCTGGTCAACGAGTGGGAACCTTACCCAGTGTTACTTTAATCTCCAGTTCTCCACTATACGGTGAGTTCCAAAAGGGGAAGGCAAGTACGTTAAAATGTAGTAACAAAAGCTAACTTAGGTTATTATAATCTGTTTAAAAGAGATGCTTCTCTCGTGTCGCTAGAAACAAAAAGAGCAAAGTGGAAAGTGGTCACGCCAAGTTCGCAAGCGTTATTTAGATCGTCACGCAGAGTTCTTTCAATTATGCGTTGCGTGACAGTCCAAAATAACGGCTAAGAGTGAAGCTAAGTTTGAGCCTGGAACTATTACACATACGCTGGAGCCCCCCGAAAAAATCTAAAGTTAACCATGTACAGTGGGAGTGACAGGCCTGCTAGACTCTTCAGCGCGTATTTTGGCCTTATTTCATAGTTTCACAAGTATATCTATTCGTAAACACTTACTGGTCATTCGTCGTTTCATATTTTTGTTGGAAGATGGACGATACAACAAGGCTACAATCAAGAAAGCGACCAGAGCCTCGATACCAGGAAATACCGAGAATGCGCCTCTGAGGTACTGGGCACAAGGTTCGCCACAGGGTCTGAAAAAAATTCCAGCGTAATGTATGGGATCAGTAACGGTAGAAAACTCTCGAACAGTATCAACTGAACAGTCAAGATACAAAATTTAAGTCAAGGTATTTCGGGTTATTTGGTTTAGTTTCGTTAATTATGAACTCTAAACTTCAAAGTAACAGACCAACAGTCTTGAATTGGGCAAAATAACGGTCATATAAACATCAAGGGATGAAAGCTGAGCAATGACACTTTCATAGAATTTGAAACAAACTTGAAAAAAGTCGGTTTTTCAAGTTAACAGGAATTCAATCCGTTTGACTTAGTTTTCCCCAATTCTGTAAACCAGTCCCTTTCAGTCAACGCAAGAGACTGTCTCTGGAGACCTATGGTCTTTAGAAACATGGAAAAAGAAACCTCATCCATTGAGGCCGGTAAACTGAACAGGCAACAGTAATGAAATCAACTCACCCTTTTGTTTCGGGATAATTTTCTTGCAGTCCTAACACTATAAACCCAAGGGATGTTTTGTCCATCAAAGCACAAACACCGTACACAAAACCACTAGATTTCTGGAGAGGAAAAGAAATATATGAATGTTAAGAATACTTCATAAGGAAAACAAAAATTGACTTAATGATACTCATTGAATATTAAACCAAATCAATGTACGTTTTTCCTGTTTTCACGCAACTAAGAGAGTTTGAACATTCTTAACGCCCGAGTTTATAGAAGACAAGGGCTGTTACAAAAGAGTCGCTTTTTGCATTTTTAAATGTTTCTGTAATTGCTTAAAAAATAGTATGGTGATAAATGATCAATAGTGATAAATGATATCTTGTCAAACTCTCGCGAGATGGGAACACAGAGATCCTCAACTGACGGATATATATATTCATGATAATTATATTTTGGGATGGCAAACCTACTTTGTCATCACCGATTATTTCCGCCACCATGGCAAGTGACGTCACTAACATCATGGAGTTTCCCGCGCCCATGATGATTGTTGGCGCGTAGATCATATCTCTTTGTGACTGGGGGGTGAAATAAAACCACGTGGCACAACCGATAACAATCACCGCACCGGCACAAAACAGCACCTGAAACAAAATACAAGGGCAGCCGTAAACAAGAGAACAACTTTAACGTTAGGTAGCTCGCTGGGATTGTCTGGACACATGTAGACCACGAGTAGTTCCTCTGTTGCTTAGTCCGTCGTGATTGACGCACAACAAAACCGCGGGAAAAAATGGTCGTACAAAATCCTGGGGGCGAGAAGCGCGCGCTTCTTGGTCCCGGGATTTCGCGCGGCCATTTTTTCCTCAAGGTTCACTTACGGTCAAGTTCGAAGGAATAAGCGAAAGAGGGACTACTCGTAGCTTAGGACGCATAGTTTTGCGAGAACAGTCTAGGCTTAACCAGTTTAAAAATCTAGTTCTAGAATGATCCTAGTGTTTTAGATGAAGTAGTCTTCTATATTCTACTCATGCAACGATTTCCCACTACTGAGTCACTTGTATTTCCTCATACAAGTGAAGAGTGGTATAAATATGTAAATTCTCCCATCCAGTACTATAACGAATTTATGGAGAACAGTAGCGAGAATCTGC